TGGGGACAGGATGGGGATGGGATCCATGGGATGGGATGGGATGGGAACGGGATGGGAACAGGATGGGAACGGGATGGGATTGGATGGGATGGGATGGGGATGGGATGGGGACAGGATGGGACAGGACAGGATCGGCATGGGGATCCGCACCAGGACCGCACGGGGATGGGACAGGGACGGGATGGGATGGGACAGGGATGGGACGGGGATGGGATGGGGACGAGACAAGGATGGGAACGGGATGGGACAGGCACGGGGATTGGCACAGGGACGGCACGGGGACGGGATGGGGACGGGACAGGATGGGACTGGGACAGGACAGGATCAGCATGGGGATGGGACGGGAATGGCATGGGAATAGGATGGGAATGGGACGGAAATGGGACAGGGAATGGAATGGGAACGGGACGGGGAATTGCACAGGGAAGAGCAGGGGATCAGCACAGGGATCGGCACAGGGAATGGCACGGGGATTGGCACAGGAATGGGATGGGAATGGCACAGGGAATGGCACGGGGAATGGCACAGGGAATGGCACAGGGAATGGCATGGGATCAGCATGGGGATCGGCACAGGGAATACCATGGGAATGCCACGGGGAATGGCACAGGTCAGTGCCAGGATCAGCGCTGGGATCAGCACAGGGAATGGATCGGAGCTGGGATCAGCAGAGATCGGTGCCGGGAATGGCACAGGGAACAGCACCAGGAATGGCACAGGGATAACACCGGGAATGGCAGGGATAGCACTGGGAATGGCACAGGGGATGGATCAGAGCAGGGATTGGCAGAGATCGGTCCTGGAAATGGCACCGGGAATGGCAGGGATAACACCGGGAATGCCGGGATCGGCACAGGGATCACAGCCCAGCGCAGGAAATGGGGGAATGGGGGAACGGGAAGCGCTCAGGGATTGTGCCCCAGGGACGGCAGGGACACCAGGAGAGTGTCAGGGATACAGCTGGAGACACTCAGGGATAAAATCCCGGGGAATAACGGGGATGGAAACCATCAGGAATACGACTGGAGATGGTCAGGGACAGAACCGACAGTGCCAGGAACAAAACCAGGGAATAGCAGGGATCCAACTGGAAACTCTCCAGGATCTAACTGGAAACCCTCAGGGATCCAACTGGAAACTCCCCAGGATCCAACTGGAAACCCTCAGGGATCCAACTGGAAACCCTCAGGGATCCAACTGGAAACCCTCAGGGATCCAACTGGAAACCGTCCGGGATCCAACTGGAAACCCTCAGGGATCCAACTGGAAACCCTCCGGGATCCAACTGGAAACCCTCAGGGATCCAACTGGAAACCCTCAGGGATCCAACTGGAAACCCTCAGGGATCCAACTGGAAACTCTCCGGGATCCAACTGGAAACTCTCCAGGATCCAACTGGAAACCCTCCGGGATCCAACTGGAAACCCCCAGGGATCCAACTGGAAACTCTCCGGGATCCAACTGGAAACTCTCCAGGATCCAACTGGAAACCCTCCGGGATCCAGCCAGAAAACAACGGGAATAAAAAGTGCCCAACTTCCCATTCCTTGGCTTTCCCAGGACACTCCCAGGGGTGGGAAGGGGAGAGATGGAGCAGAGGGATGGACAGGGAAGCACAGGGAAAACCAGGAATTCCGAGGGAAATCCAAGGATTTAGAGGGAAGTACAGGGACACACAGGGAAATCCAGGGATTTTCCAGGGAAATCCAAGGATTTAGAGGGAAGTACAGGGAAGGCTCGGCCTCTTCAGGACCCTCTGGCTGGGATGCACAGGGAAGTAGTGCAGGAATGAGCAGGGGAAGCACAGGGATATTCAGGGATTTCCAGGGATATTTGGGGATATTCCAGGATGCACAGGGGATCTCCAGGGATATTGGGGGATGCACAGGGATGTGTTGGGATGACTCCCCCGTCCTTGGCCTCCACAGGACGCTCGCACACGGGAGTTTGGGGACACAGAAGGAGGCACAAGGAGATACCGGGATAAAACAGAGGGAATTTTCCTGCTTTACAGGGATGACCCCCCTGGCTTTGCCCTCTCCAGGACCCTCACAGGGCCAGACCCCCGGGACCCCCCTGAACCCTCGGGACCCTCCCAGGCTTCCCCCCCCTCAAATCCCTGCGGCCCTCCCGGCGCTGAGGGGGAGATTTGGGGGTGTCCTTAACCTCGCCCTCCCTCAGCAAAGTTCACCCCGAACAATGCGCGCGCGTCGCTTCCCCCCCCCCCTCCCCGCCCACTTGGTCCCGCCCGAAGCGCAGGGGGCGAAGGGGGGGCCCCGCTTCCCGCGCCCGGCCGGGCCGCACCATTCCCGCGCCGCGGGGGGGGACCGGACTGAGGTGGGGGGGGGACCCGCACTCACAGCTTGACCACATTCTGAACCACCGCCGCCATCTTGGCTCCGCCGCCGGGGCGCCGCGGGGCGCGTGCGCGGAGGGAGGGCGGGAGGGGCGGGGAGAGGGAGGGGAAGGGAGAAGGAGGAGGGAGAGGGAGGGCGGGAGGAGGAGGAGGAGGAAACGGGGAGGGAGAGGGGCGGGGGGGAGAGGGAGGAGAAGGAGGAGAGGGGGGGAAGGGAGCGTGGAGTCCTCCGGGCCGCTGGGCGGCGCTGTGCGCTGCGCGCGTGCGCGGGGAAAAGGCGGGAAAACGGGGAGTGGGGGGGGGCACAAGGTCTGAGGGGAAAAATGGCGGGAAAAGGATCTGAGGGGCAAAAATGGCAGGAAAAGGGTCTGAGGGGGAAAATGCACGGAAAAGGGGGAAATCCGAGAGAAAGGGGCGGATGAAGGTGAGAAAGGGAGGGGATGGGGGTGAAGGAGGGAGGCAGAGTGGGGGATATGGGGGGGAAATCAGGGGGAGATGGAGGGGGGAGGCTGAGGGGGAAAATGGAGGGGGCAGAGTGAGGGGGAAAATGGTGGGAGAAGGAGGGAAAAAATGGGAGAGAGCAAGGCGGGAGAGTGAGGGAGAAATGGCCGGAAAGTGAGGGGGAAAACGATGGCAGAGCATGAGGGGGTTTATCCTGGAAAAAGGAGGTTCGAGAGACCCCCTTGCTCCCTACAATTCCCTGGAAAGAGTTGGAATGAGGCTGGGGGGGAGATCCCTTCTCCCGATGGATAAAACAAGTCGAAACAGCCTCAAGGTGCAGCAGGGGAGGTTTATGCAGGAAAATTCCTTCATGGAAAAGATTGTCCTGCCCTGGCACGGGCACTGCTGTCCTGGAATTATCCCAAAAATAACCTGGATGTGGCACGTGGGGACACGGTTCGGGGATTTGATGATCCCAAAGGGCTTTTCCAACCTCAGCCTTTCCATGGAAAGGGGTGAGAAGAGGGAGAATGGGAAGGGAAATGGGGAAAGGTGTGAGAACAGCGGGAAAGGATGGAGGAGGTTTGGGGGGGTAAAACAGAAAAAAGGTGAGGGTTGGGTGGGAAATGATGGATAAATTGGGGGGGAAGGGAATGAAATGAGGGATAAATGAGGGCCAGGAGAGGATGAAATAAGGGATAAGTGAGGATGGATCCCTCAGATCCCAAATCTCCCCAGGTTCCCTCTGTTTACGATCTCAACCAAACCCAGCCACTCCTGAAGCCTGTTCATCCCAAAAAAATTCCTGCCAAAAATTCCCATTTTTGAGCTCTTTTCCCTTTTCATCAAACCGGAATTAACCCCAAATTCATCCCCCAGGACAGAGATCACCCACAGATCCCACAGCAAGCGTGGCTGGACATCAACTTCCAGGTGAGTTCCTCACTCCCAGGTGAATTCCTCATTCCCAGGTGAATTCCTCACAGGTGAATTCCTCATTCGCAGGTGAATTTCTCATTCCCAGGTGAGTTCCTCACAGGTGAATTCCTCATTCCCAGGTGAGTTCCTCACTCCCAGCTGAATTCCTTTTATTTTTCCTCCTTACTTCCATATCCCACGTGTGGTTTTTTTTCCCCTCTTTGCTGGGAATTTGCCTTTTTTCCCCCAAGGTCACCCCCTGGTCAAACCTTCCTCCCTCCCTCCTCCTCCTCCTCCTCCTCCTCCTCCTAATCCCAGGCCGGCTGTTCCTGGCGCTCATCCCACGGCTCCGGCCACGCCGGACGCGCAAACGCTGACCGCTGGCGTGGGCGGCGATAATCCACTGCCCGGAAATCCCGGGCTAACGAGGAACCGGGGAGGGAGCTCCTGCTGGGGTTAATTAACGATTCCATCCTTGATTGATTCCGGAATCAACTCCCCAAAAGGACAGGGGGAAGGAGGGGAGCGGGCGCCGAGCCACGGCTGCTCCAGATGACTCAAATTCCTGGAATCGGGAGTAAATCATTAATTGGGGGAGGGATTAATTAGGGGAGAAGTGAAGGAGGCTCCAGTCCTGTGGAAAGGGATCCCAAATTATTTATTATTGATTAAAAATTAATGAAGGAATTTGGGTTTTTGGGTTTTTTTGCAGATTGGATTGGGGAAAAAACCATTTCAGGGATAAAGTGATATTTAGGATCATTTTGGGGGTAATTTCAGGGATAATAATGATAATTTTGGGGATAATTTTGAGTGAGGTCTGAGCGGTGCGGGAGGAAGGGAAGAGGGGAAGGAGGAGAGGGGTGAGAAAAGGAAAATCATCTTTTCATGGTAAAAACACCCCAAAATCTGTCAAATTAAAGGAGTTTTTCCAGGACTGGAGCTGAGGGGGATGAGTGAGGGGAGAAACGAGTGACCAAAGTCCCGAATTAAACCTGGAACACCCCGAAATCCAGCCCTGGCTTGTGGAAGGGGATAAAACTGGGGGAGAAAAGGTACAAAACTGGGGGAAAAAACCGGGATTTTGGCTGATTTGGGTGATTTCGAAATCCTGCAGTTTCGCAATTCCCGGGCTGAGGCGGGGCACAAACAGCTCCGTCTTTAAATCACTGATTTGGGTGAAATCCAGGAAAATTGGGGTGAAATCCAGGAAAATTGGGGTGAACTCCAGGGAAAAAAAAGTGCATCCATGTTGTCCCAACCCACCCCATGTTGGAAACGCTCCAAACCGCCCCAAAAGCCGCCCAAAATGAGCCAAACCGGGCTGGTTTCCCTTCAGGCTGCTCCTGGGACAGGAGGGGACTCAGAGCCACGTTCCCATCAAAGTCCCTCGTCCCTGGGGTTAATTAATCACAATTAATTACAAAGGAGGCTCTGAAACGGCTCCGTCCCGGCGCTGGAATTGGTTTGGGGAGGAAAAACCCCAAAAGAAATCAAAAGTGGACAGAGCGTGGGGGGAGAAAAGAGTTTAGAGCAGGGAAGAGTTGGAGCAAAGAGAAATTAAACCCGGGGCTGATCGAGCCTAATTAACCTCGGTTTGTTAATTATTTTACGGATGAAAACCTCGGGAAATCGATTTATCCCCAAATCCTGGGCGTTTTCACCAAAAGTGGTTTGGGACGTGGAGGGGGAGGGGAAGGAAGAGGCGGGACAAGGGTTCGTTAAGGAGAATCTAATGAGTCATTAGGCAGATAATCTAAATTAGACTCGTTAGGCAACGAGGAAGGGGAAGGTGGGGTCAGGAGGGGCCGCAGCTCCGGGCTCCCAGGAATCGGCTGGAATTCTTGGAAAGAGCCTGGATCAGCGCTGCCCCCACCCCGTCCCCGAGTCCCGGCGGCTCCTCCCGGCACCAGCGGCGTTTCCAGTGGGGATTTTGTCCATATTCCCTAAAATCCAGCGGGAATTCCCCTCGCCATTCCCTCCTTCCCCTTCCACCCCCGATCCGCGACGGATCCGCCGCGGCGCCAGGATCCAGCCGTGCCTCTCCGTGGGAATTTGGGTCGGTTTTGGGTCCCTTTGGTGATTTTTTGGGTCCGTTCGGTGATTTTTTGGGTCCCTTTGGTGATTTTTTGGGTCCCTTCGGTGATTTTTTGGGTCCCTTTGGTGATTTCCAGCCCAGCCCCGCTCCCTTCGCCCCCGATTCCCCCCGAGGGGATTTTTGGCCCCTCCATGGATTGAGTTCCTAAAGCTCCCACCGGGATCCCGAGCTCCTCCACGCCGAGTTTTGGCTTCTCCGCGGAGAGCCGGAGATTTCCCGGCGGGAATTTCCCCGTTTGCGGGGTTTCCAAAGGGTCCAACGGAAGCTGAGGCGCCGCCGCCGCGGAGAAGGAACGCCGCCGTCCCCCCAAGTCCTCCCGTCCGGGATCCTCGGGAATTCATCCCCTCTGGGAGAGCTCGGAGAGGCCGAACCCTCGCCCGCCGTCGGAAACGCGGGAATCCGAGCCGGGATCCGCCGAGCTCCCGGAACCTTCCTCATCCTCGCCGTCCTCATCCTCGCCGCTCGCACGCGGAGCCGCCCTCACGTGGGGATCTCCGGCCGGCCGCGCTCGGCGCGGTGCCGCTCCATCACCTGCAGCACGTCCTCGAGGATGGAGGGCCCCAGGTCCACGTGCAGCGACAGCAGCGATCCCGCCTGCGACGGCACCGCCTCGGCCTCGCCGTTGGCGGCCGCGCACGCCGGAGCCGCCGGCGCCTCGTCCGGCCGCAGCCGCGGGGGTTTCGGCGGAGCCGGCGCCGCCGGCAGCGTCAAGGCGCGGGCGCCGCCGAGCGCCGGTAGAGAGACGGCGTTTTTGAGCGACGGCGATGGCGCCGCCTCGACGGCGCGCGGGAAAGAGAAGGGCGCGGGCTCGGCGGCGCGGGGCAGCAGGTGGAACTTGCCCTGAAGGAAGGAAATGTCCCCGAAGGCGTCGCTCTCGCCGCCGCTGCCCACGTGGATGGTGTGGCGGAAGTCGCCCAGCGGAGGGCTGATCATGTCCGAGGAGAGGATGTCCCGAAGCTTCTCCTTCTTGCCCTTGCGGCCGCTCCTCTTCAGGTAAATCGGAACCTTGGTGGCCATGGCGGCCTCAGGACGGCCTGCGGGGAACGGAGAGGGAAAAGCGCTCGGAGCCGGGATCCCAGGGGCGTCGGGAATGAATTCTAGAATTTTCCAGAGGGAAAAGCGCTCGGAGCCGGAATCCGAGGGGCGTCGGGAATGAATTCCAGACCTTCCCCGAGGGAAAAGCACTCGGAGCCCGGATCCTCAGAGCATCGGGAATGAATTCTAGAATTTTCTAGAGGGAAAAGCGCTCGGAGCCGGGATCCTCAGAGCATCAGGAATGAATTCCAGCCCTTCCCCGAGGGAAAAGCGCTCGGAGCCGGGAACCGAGGGGCGTCGGGAATGAATTCCAGACCTTCCCCGAGGGAAAAGCGCTCAGAGCCCGGATCCTCAGAGCATCAGGAATGAATTCCAGACCTTCCCTGAGGGAAAAGCGCTCAGAGCCGGGATCCGAGGGGCGTCGGGAATGAATTCCAGACCTTCCCCGAGGGAAAAGCGCTCGGAGCCGGGATCCCAGGGGCGTCGGGAATGAATTCTAGAATTTTCCAGAGGGAAAAGCGCTAGCTGAAGCAAAACCGGAGATTTTGGGGCCGGAAAGGGAAGGAAGTTGGGATTTCCCCTGGTTTAGCCGTGAACTCCGAGTTCAGACATCGCATCGGGGCCGGATTTTCCGGCTCTGGGGAGAAATGAGGCAAAAATTGGGAATTTTAGCGGCAGGAATGTGTCCGGCCTCGGGAAACGGGGATGGAACGGCCTCGGGGCCGCCTGAGCGTTCCCTGTTAAATCAGCAGCTGGGAAGTTCCGGAGCTTTCCGCCTTTTTCTTTCAGGGAAAAAAATTCCATCCATCCCTGTTTTTGTAAGGGCGGATCCGAGGACGGAGCAGCTCGGGGAGGGATTTAGGGATGGGTTTGGACACCCCCAGGGGCCTCTCCCGGCAGGAATTCGACCCAGAAAAATCCCGGGCGGAGCCGGGGAGGATTCATCCCTAAAAACACAACAACAGCACCGAGGCCCCGAGGGATGGAAAATCCCATTTCCCGCTCGCTGCTCCGGCCAAAACCCCCCCTGAGCCCGTCTGCTCCCTGGTTTTGGGGAATATTCCTGAATTATCCTCTGATTTTGGGGAATATTCCTTAATTATCCCTGGTTTTGGGGAATATTCCTGAATTATCCCTGATTTTGGGGAATATTCCTGAATTATCCCTGATTTTGGGGAATATTCCTGAATTATCCC